TTGCAAGTCAGGCTATTTGTCAGTCGATGTAGCAGCACTGCCTTGTGAGTCAGGCTATTTGTCAGTCGATGTAGCAGCACTCTGTTGCTAGTCAGGCTATATACAAATTTATTCAAGCATAGCTAGGTTAAAAAATATTATATTTATACCAATTAATATTTTATTAAGTTATAAAATCTACTTTTAATTTATTTTATTAGTTCAAACGATTTAACTAATAAAATAATTTATTTACGGTTTTTTTTAATATTATTTAAGATCAGAAAGTATATTAGGAAAGTTTAGCCTGGGTATAGTTATTTTAAACACATGCGGAGAAGAAACATTAGTTACAAAACTTTTTTTTAACTTGATAGAAGTTAAGGCTTCCATTAAATCGCAACAGATGCAAAAGTAATACAGTAAGCAAACTCAAAACAAGTCATAATGCCTAACAGAACTATCATTAAAAAATGGGGCTTTTAATACTGCGGATTTCAAACTGATGATTCAGGTGAAGTAATTTTAATATGGTATAAAACTTGCCAAGAGTATTCAGAATTTTTAAAAAATTTTCATAATAAAAGTAAAGGCTGTGCTAAATTAGCAACAGAAACATTTGTATAGTTTTGTATAGTTCATACTTAACTACAATTAAATATTGAAAAACACAACCCCTACTACTTGAAAATTAAATGCTTATTTCTCGTAGAGGTTAAACAACCGGATGTAAACTGTCTACTCATTTTGTTAAACAATTTGCCATTTTAAAAAAAAATATTCGCTTACAGCATATAAACTAAATTTGTATTTCTAAACAACATTCTTTCTATGAGCAATCTACAAAACCAATTAAAATGTCATAAATAAACTATGACCATTTTTTTTTTTTAAATAAAACAACTTCAAAACTGAAAAATCACTTATTCATAAATTTGCTATATACTTTATTTACTAAACAAAATTTAATTGCTACGCCCTTTAAAATATTATTGTTTGAAGCTATGTATTATAAAATATTACATAGCAATCTTTTTATAATCAATTAATCATTACCCCTATTGTAAAAAAAAAACAAAAAATCCTCTTTTTTTTTTGCCGACCAGACATTGGCTAAAGTCGGCACACTTGTGCTTGCCTGAAATCCTTCAAATTTTGCTGACTGTATATATGTATACACACACTAACAGATAAATAGATAAGATTAGGTTTGATAAAAGATTGCAATATAATGCATTGCATTGTAAACTAACAAGGTTTTCAAAGGAAAGTAATTACAATTTTACTAGACTAACATTAAATAAACTGAATAACATGACACAGATGCGCTCTCTTGCACAAAAACGAGAGCCCTTATATATAATGTTCTATATAATATAAAATACTCGAATAAAAATCATAAAATTGATATTACTTATCAATTTTTAATATTTGTTTTAATTTAAAAACAAAAGATTAAAGCTTTACTTACCAATTAGCTTTACTTACTAAAAAAGATATATAAATCTAAAAATTATTAAGATATCTGTAAAAAATAAGTTGCTCCTATAAATTAAAAATATAAAATTTTACTATTTACAAACTTTCTTTTGCAATGTTTGGAAAAATAATACAGATAAATTTGTTTTGCTATATGTTAAAAAAATACTACAACATACTTTTTAAATAAAAGTAGAAAAGCACAGTTTTGTTTAATTACATTTTTCATTTGTCATAAGTCTACCGTGATGTCGAATACTAAAACTTTTATGAATTAAACGCACTTTAAAGGAACTACTGAAGTCTGTAGATTGTGATGTATAACTTAAAGACTCATATTTTTTGAGTAAAATGGAGAAGGCAAACTTTGACTAAAACAACAAGATAAAACTTATCTTGGTATGCATTCATTATTAATTTTAATCAAAAAAACTAGGTTCAAACCTTTTTATTTCAACATTATCTTTAATATGACCACAACATGTGTTGGGAATTTGGGATCCCTTTAAGAATTATGTAATTTTTACCTAGGTTTATCTATAATTCTTTATTGCCCTGTAGAACAATGGATTTTTGATTTAATTTACACAGTCTGTATCACATTTCTTAAAAAAAAAGTAAAAAATAAATTCCGGCATTCTGGCCTAAAAACAATTATAATTAAAAAAATAAACGATTCAAAGGTATTTATTCCAAACGTAGTTTAGATAATCTATCATTATAGTTTATTATTTATTTCAGTTAAGTTTTAATTTTATTTTTGCTATTTTAGTTTTAGTTAAGTTATTTTAATTTTGTTTTAATTTTTTTTTTCTTTAAATAAAACTCAACCCTAAAGAAACAAACGAAGATTCATTTGTTTCTTTAGGGTTGAGTTTTATTTAAAGTTTCTTTACAGTTAAGTTAAGATTTGATTTAATTTTTTTAGCGCATTTTTTAAACGTATACAAATTTTTGAAACATTTTAACAGCCGTGGTCAAGTTAAGTAAAATCAAATAGTATTTGCGTGGTCATATTATAACATAAAGTCATATTATGGTCATATTATTTTATTAAAATTGTGTCTTAGCAAATAATAATAGTTTTTTACTTTTAAAAATTTTATATATATATATATATATATATATATATATATATATATATATATATATATATATATATATATATATATATATATATATATATATATATATATATTACAAACAAAAAAATATTACTGCCAAATGGGGTAACTTTGGTCAATTGCTGATTTTTTTTAAAAATCATAAAATTTAACAAAGATAACATATCCTTTAGTTTTGTTACAGATACCAACAATATATATCAACAATTATATCAACAATTTATATCAACAATTTTGGTATATCAACAATTTTTGTGAAAGTAGCACAGTTACTTCGTAGACTACAATGACATTTTTTATGTATTTTGGCGTTTTTTGATATTTCTAATACATTTATTGAACAATTTGGATTCTTAGCCGGTGAAAATGCCGAGGAAATATAAGCAAAAGCCTGGTTCAAGACCATATGCAACTAGTCAGGAAAGGCTGACCAATTCTATGAAAGCATTTTAACTGGAAGAATGAGCATGCGAAAGGCTAGTCGACAGTTTGGAATTCCATTGGGTACACTACAGAACAAGTGTAAAAATTGACATTAGAAAAAGGTACGAACACTGTTGTGTCTGAGTAATGAGACTGAAACACATCTTGTAACTTCAATCAACCTCTGTAACTTCAATCACCCTCTGTAACACCCTCTCCAACTGAAAAGTTCCATTGACTTCAATAGATATCAAACTTCTAATGAAAGATTACTTGGATCAATATGGTGTCCATGATTCACGGTTTAAATTTTCCCTGTTACGACTGATTTAAATCTTTTATAAAACAAAATAATTTGACCCAGAGGTTAGCAGACGATGTAAAATTAGCACATGCCGAGATCGACGCATTGAATGTCAACCTTTACTTCGATGAATTGCAACATGTAGTTGAAGATGTACCTGCTAGTCATATATACAATTATGATGAAACAAATGTGACGGACGATCCCAGTTCAAAAACAGTTGTATGTCAAAGAGGTCTTAAGCGTGTTGAGCAAAAAATACGATATTCCAAGTGCTATGTCAAATGGACAACTGGTTTATTGTGTTTAAACAATGTTTATTTCATGTTTCTTTAAGTGCTTAAGGACTAATGATTTTTTAAAACTCCAAAAAGTGACCAATGTCACCCCAATGTCATAATAAATAATGAATGACCAATGTTACCCAAAAACCTGGAGTAACATTGGTCACTTTTTGGCATTTAAAAAAATATATTTGTAATAAAAAAGTTAAAAAAATAAATATAGAGGCCTAGAGCCATGACCTATAATGTTATTATCACAAGAGAAAACTGTAAAAAAATTAATATGATTCAGAGGTGTTTAAGAAAAACTGCAGAAACTGACTAAAGTTACCCCGGTTGATGGTATACGTTGCAAAAAAAAAAAAAATTATTTTGTAACAAACATAAATTTAAGTTTCCGAGTATAATTTATTAAAAAATATATACCTTTGTGCTTTCATTTATCTTACAACAAAAAAGTTGAACATACTCTTTATAAACATTTTCATTGCAGTGTTATAATAAGTAACTATTATAAAATAATATTTTTCTAAACTATTATTTTTTGCAAAATAAAATTCATAAATATAAATAAAGACATTGCAAGAGCTATATTGCTTCAAGCGTAATTAAATTTTTACAACAGAATTACCCAGACAATTTGACAAAAATTTTCCAAACCGAATTATTACAATCACTTTTCTTAAACATAATATCACAAAAACAATTACAATAAAAAATTTAACCAACATACTGCTCACCAAATGCAGTTTTATAGGGTGCAACTTTTCAGATGTAAACACAACAATATTGTTATTGATGAAAAAATCTGTGTCAGTTACTAGTGTAGAAAGACCCTTCAGCAAAAGTTAATACATTATTTAAAACATATTTTAGTAATAGCATGTCTCAGAAAGGCCTCAAGCATCATGCAATTTTGACAATAGAGAAAAGAAAAGCACAAATATTAGAATTAGATATAGTAATTTGTGAATAAGTAGGCAAAATTCATATTTAAGGTAGTTAAATAAATAAAAAATTTCTTAGGATATTCTTCAATTTTTTTTCTGCTATAGCATTTTAAAAATCAATGTCTGAAGATGGTATAGCTGTAAAGAATTTCTAAATTATGTCAGTCATAAGTAGACTGAGGTAGAGTTAGTTTTTGATATCAAGTATGCCTCCTCAAACATTATTTTAATGCTCGTTTTTTTTATAACTATTTAGAGCAAAATTCTAGGATCATTCTCTAATTTATAAAATAAATATTATTTGTATATTAAATCTACCTACTTTAGAGACAAAAAATTTTGTACTCTATTTCTAATTTAGGAACTTTTCCATTCTTACCCACACTAAATTAATTCTATTTAATTCAGCTAACAAGAACCATTTGTCATGCAGAGAATAAAAAAAATTATAAATTACTTTGGTACATTTAGAGTCAAAACATTGGTTTCTTTCTGAAATGGAAGTTTTGTTCGATTTTTGTTTGATGTGTTTTCTTCCTTTGAACAATACTTTTGCTCAACTTCATCAAGTAAATCATCAATCTCGTCCATTTGATCTATTATAAAAAACAAATTGTTTTAAAAGTCGTTTACAAACTGCTTATAAGTTTTTAAATGGCTTAAAATCAATTCTAATTCTAATCCTAATTCTAGTTCAGTCTAATTTATGATGTAATATAAGTGTAACCACCATTAGACATTTTCAATACTATTAAGTATAGTATATAATGTTATTATTAATAACATTATACATTTTAGTAAAACATTATTTAGAGTAAAGCATCATTTTAGTAAAATGATATTTAAAAGTTAGATAGTTAAAGTTTAAATTAAAATAGACCAGGCGTTTTTAGAGTCATTTAATTAGTTGTTTTTTCTTTATCATATATCAAAATAAAACAAAATCTATTTAAGTAATCTTTATTATTTCTATACCAATGTTTAGATAAAGAAATTTTTTATATCATATTCTTTTATGGAATTACCGTTAAAATAAGGCAAGCAGTATATATACTTTAATCCGTCACCTCTAATTGCTCACTGACCCACCAGCGTTACTAAGAACGCGCTGCATTCTAAAGATTCTCAAGTTGCCTTATATTTTATTTTTACACAACGCGCGCAATATCAAAATTTACAAACAAAATAGTCCTAAATTTTTTATAAATATTTTCATCGTAACCATATAATTTATAATTCATAAGCAAGGGACGTTACGCATTTATGCCATAAATGCGTAACGTCCCTTGCTTATGAATTTTGAAAAAATTCAACTTATGAATTTTGAAAAAATTAAAAAATTTTGAAAAATAAATAAGCTATACAGATCTAATTTAAACATACTATTATTGTCTGGGAAGATGAATGTAAATGTTAAAAATAATAAAAAAATAGAAAACTATTAATATCGGAATCAAAAGCTACTGAGTTAAGTTTACCAAATAATGACAACATTATTCCAGCGACATTTAAAAATTCATTTTCAGACTTTAATTAAAAGACATAACAGTATAAAGAAGGAATTATTTTTATTTGTATTTATAAGTAACATTTTTTTTAAATATTCAGGGTCGGAGGTTAGGGGTATTTCCCCCGGGCCCCGGGGGGATGGGGGGAAACACCCCAACCTAAACTAACCTGATTAAGGATTTAACGTAGATTTCCAAGGGGCACAAATGAAAAAAAAAAAAAAGGTCCTTCATATATAATATAAGGCCCTGTATCTATGTCTTCCCCCGAGGGAAGGGAACTATTAATGGATTCAATATTGAGCATTGCCCCACTGAGGCCAAAAAAGGTGGTGCTCTTTTATATCTACAGTCTAATTTAAATTATGTAGTTCGTCATGACTTAAAGATTTACTTACCAAAATTACTAGAGTCTGTTTTTGTTGAAATCATTAAGCCACACAAAACAAATGTCCTTATTGGTTGTATATATCGTCATCCATCAATGAATCAAAATGAATTCAATACAACATTTTTAACTCTACTTCTTGAAAAGTTAAGCAAAGAACAAAAATTGATCTTTTTAATGGGTGATTTCAATGTAGATCTACTGAGCTATAGTGAATCTAATCCTACTTCCAACTACCTTGATACCTTATATTCTTACTCATTTAATCCTTCCATAATCTTACCTACCCGTATAACAACTAAATCTCAAACACTTATTGATAACATCTTTATGAACTTCTACTCTTCTGATCATCTCTCAGGTAACCTAACTATTTCTATCTCGGATCACACAGCACAATTTGTTTGTGTTCCTGGCACATCCAACCAACCAAATAAAGTTAAAACTTCTAGAAGATGTTTAAAAAAATTTGACCCTAACAAGTTTATTATAAAAATTTCTAAAATCAACTGGGAGCTTATAATTAAAAAAGATGACAATATTAATGAATCCATCAATAATTTTTGAAAATCATGTAATATGGTTTTAGACCAATGCGCCCCCTATAAAACTTTGACTAAAAATCAAATCAAACTAAAATCTAAACCCTGGATATCTAAAGGCTTACTTAAATCTATCTCTGTAAAAAACAAACTCTACAAAAAATTTGTAAGATGTAAAAATACTAAAAATGAGCTTTTCACAAAATTTAAATTCTATAGAAATAAAATTAGCAACTTATTAAAAAGTAGTAAAAAATCATACTACATAACTTATTTTAATAACAACATAAACAACATAAAAAATACATGGAAAGGCATAAAAGATATCATAAATATTAAAGGATCATTACATAAAACACCTACTCAGTTAAATCTGAATGAAAATACTATCACAGACCATGCCACTGTTTCGAATATATTTAATAACTACTTTGTCTCTATTCGTGAAAAACTACTCAATAATATTATGCCATCAGAATATACTTATAGTGACTTTCTTAATCTTCCTAATGCTAATTCTTTCTTTATTGATCCTGTTAGTGAAGATGAGGTACCTAGTCTTATTAGTAATACTTTTAAAAATGATAAAAGTTATGGACCTAATAGCATACCTCCATTTTTTCTTAAACTTACCTCTCACATAATCTCCAAACCTCTTAGCATTATGATAAATAATTCTTTTAAAAATGGCAAATTCCCTGATGTTTTTAAAGTAGCTCAAGTCATTCCAATTTATAAAGCAGGCTCCTTACTAGACTTTTCTAACTATCGACCCATTTCCCTTCTTTCCAACCTAAGCAAACTTTTTGAGAAGGCTATGCATAACAGACTATACAAGTTTCTAGATAAATTTAAATGCTTGTACCAACATCAATATGGATTTCGAAGCAAATATTCTACAACCCTTGCACTTATTGAAATTACTGAGAAGATTAGAAGAGCTCTAGATAATAAACACTTTGCATGTGGGGTGTTTGTAGATTTGCAGAAAGCATTTGATACTGTGGATCACTCCATCCTTCTCACAAAATTAGAATACTACGGAATCAGAGGCATCCCGCTAAAATGGTTTACTTTTATCTCAAAAATAGAACACAGTTTGTTTCCATTAATAGCACTAAATCTGATTTACAGAATTGCTCAAATGGCGTCCCACAAGGTTCAGTTTTAGGACCACTTGTTTTTCTTCTTTTTATTAATGACTTGAATACTTCTTTTAAATTTGCAACTGCTTACCATTTTGCTGATAATACTAACATGCTACTGGTTGACAAATCACTTTTCTTTTCAATTACAAATTGTCACTATCCTCTTCGCTCCATCAGTAGCTTAAACTTAGTTATTCCGAAACACCAATCTGCTAAATATGGAAATAAATCCATTAAATATCAATGTATTAGCTCATGGAACAAACTACCTCCTGATCTAAAATCTCTTAATTCAATCTCTGAATTCAAAATCAAGCTTTTTAATTATCTGTTAAAAAAATACAATTAAATATTTCTACCAACTAATATTGACATTCTTTACTAAATATGTCAATTCGTAACCCTTCAGTTTTTAATTTGATATTTTTAACATTTTGAAATTCTCTACTTATCTATCTACATCTAATTTTTCTGGTTTTTTATCTGCCATTTTTAAACTTTATTATTAAACTATCTATACTAATATTATTAATTTTAGTACGAATGGGTTGGCATTCTTTATTTATCTATCTATTTATCTCTTTTCATTCAAAAATTCTCTATTTCTCAACTATTCTACTTCGTACTAAATCGTTGTTGTTGCCATCACTCTTTACTAAATTTTTTGCTGCTGTTATTGTCTTTATTTATGAAATTCTTCTCTTATTATAATTGTTATTATTTCGTTACTATTATTATTATTATTGTTATAATTATTATTTTTGTTGTTGTTGTTGCTATTATTATTCTTATCACAATCATTGTTATTATTATTGCTATTATTATTATTATTATTATTGTTATTATTATTATTATTATTATTATTAGAATAATTTTATTGATTCAATTTCCATAAATTTATTTTACGATCGAAGGCGAGGATAAGTCAAAAACTTATCCTCAATTTTGGTTATCAAATAATTTTATTGAACTTGTTGACTGGGTCATATCCATAGCAAGACGTGGGGAGGAAGGGGCATTTAGGCAATCGCTTCCTTTCCCCCTCCCCCTCCCCGCCTTTTCTTTAGATTTATTAAAAATATTTTTTATTTCTATAAATTAACGCAGCATGTTGTTTGAAAAATAAGAAATTTATTTGATAGGGTTTTAAAAATGTTATGAATTTAATAAAATTTGAAAACTTTTCGCCCTTTAAAATTTCCCCATACTACTAGATGGGTTGTATCCACCTATCAAAAAAACCCTAAAATTTGCCCATTTTTATACTAGATGGTCTCTCTCGTCCCAGCTTATTAAACCATTTTCTTTGTTAATAAACATGCATACACCTTATTAGAATAACTCTAATAAGGAGTATGGATGTTTATTAACAAATTAATAGTAGTTAAAATAAATGAAATTACTACAAACAAAAAAAAAATCTTTTAAAGAATTAATTTTTCAGAAATTGAACTCTGTATTAATTTTTGTTACGTAATAAATTTTATTAGCTATAAGTAAACCCTTTTTAAAAAAATATAACTTAAATATTTTAAAATTTATTTAAATTCTAGTTCAACCCCCTTTTAAAATATTTAATTTTTTTGTGACTTAATCGCTTCTGGTTCATTATGTTTGAATTAATTTTTTATTGTTTTAAATTGGTTTAAAAATGTTTATATAAGGTAATAAATATCTGAAATATATGTTTTATGATAATTTTTAATAAAAAGTAACATCAAATTATTGAAACTCAGCTAAGTTCGTTGTTCTGTAGGTTTATCTAACAAATCCAAAAAAAAATTGATTGTTTAGATGAATGCCGTAAGATGATAAATATCGTATTTGTTTTTAATATTTTTAAAGAACAAAAACATCACAAATATTTAAAAAGTTATATAAATTTTAGTGACAAAGTAAATATTTCCATAAAATAACAAGAAGCCGCATGTTTAGCGTATAAAAGCAGTGACGCAAATTATATACTATTTCATTTTTTTAGAACATATTTTTAATTGCACTAATAGTTATATATTACATAATACAAGAATAAATAAAATTATTAGGGTAACCAAAAAAAATTAGTTTTGAGACCTTAAATTACGTCGTGAAAAATCCATTTTAAACAGTTATAATAAATAAAATATGCTATATTCTGCACTATAAAACTTTTACCGACGTTTTATCTTTAGTAGACTGACATTTGCATAACTTTATCTTGTATTCTTTGTATTTACTTTTGGCTGCAAGCTGAGTTTCCCTTAAACACTGGCCCTGAGTAAGGTTGACGTGTATTTCAGGTAACCCCTTCATCTTATTAATATGTGTTGTGGTGGTAAAACAAGGTCAAGTTGTAAAAAGTTTTAAAATTTCTACTTTTAACGGAGCTTCTATTCAATATTAATATTTAATACAAATTGATCAACATTCTGATTTTAGAATTGTATTAGCTTGCATTTTCTCTGTAATTACTGGTACATTCTATATTTTAACTTAATACGTAAGTAAATCGAGCAGTTTATAAATTTGCTTAAAAATTACTAAGTAGTCTCATATTCATCAAATAACAAATAAATTAATCTCAATACCAATACCGATACCTCAATACTAATGATCCTCTTTGTGATAAATTGATAACTATTTACCAATTTTTTTAAAGCAAGTGAAAACCTATTTAATTTAGGTGATTTAAGACTTTGTTCATCTATTATATTTTACTAATATATGTAGGTATATTTAACCAATACATAATAACCTATTAAAATAATTTTATTGCTTTTAGTAAACGTTGTAAGTTGTGCTTGAGTAAAAGTAAATTGAGAGACAAAAAAAATTAATTTTAAATACTATACCCAAGGAGGGCATCATGCCCTAGCCACGGAGCAAAATAATTTTTTGTACCATTGTTTGTTTTATGAATTTTATATTTTTTACCACTAAAAAAACCGTTTTTTATTTTACCAATATCTTTCAAGTAAACGTTGGTATTAAAAAGAATAAACGCTAATTATTATAAAAGTGTTCTTTATATGCAATAGTGTTTGTGATGGGGACATTTTGTCACACCCTACATTTTTAATTCATTTTCTAAGTAAAAAATAGATGTTACAGATATTTGGTTAAATTTTACTTTACAATATTATTACTATAAATGAAAATAATATTTTCCTTGCTTTTCAGTTTTAAAAAATTTTGCAATGGATTGGATATATGTTTTCCAAGATAGATTGGAATTAAGAGTAAATCTTAGAAGACAAAGAGAGAACCTTGAGGAACCCCGGAGGTTACATGATATGAAGAATAATGCTGTCCATCGAGGAGATGTTACCTGATACACCATAAGAAGAAAGCTTATGGAGAAGACCAGTATGCCAAACTTTATCAAAGGCTTTAGAAATGTTGAAAGCGATAGCTTCAACCTCTTCACATCTATCTTATGCTATATAAAACCTATCAGTTATTATGGTAAACAAATCAGCAGTAGAACGAAAAGAACGGAATCCATATTGTAAATAATGTTTAACTTAAGCTGGATGACGTATTTTCAGAGAAAAACTTGGCATGCCAATTTTATTAAATTAGATAATAGCCTTCACTTTTTGTTTCGTTTTTTAATGCCACAATTTCTTTTTTTATAGCGGTGGCTCTACTTTTATCATCACGTTTAAAAAATTTTATTTTACCAACTGTCTAAGTTTTTGACCGGCTAAATTTTCTCCTTGTGATCTTGAAAACGTAAAATTGTCATCTGTCTTGGTAGATATTCTCATACATTTGAAAGTAACACTCATTGTCTCCTTAGAAACTCGAATTGTTAGATTTTTTAAATACTTCGAAGTGTATTTACAAGAAAACTTGTTCGTATTGTTAAAAAGGACCTTTTGATTGATCAAAATATGTTGATTATAATTACATAAAAAACCTGTAAAAAATCTTTCTTGTAAAAACGTATCCCAGTGTCTACAGAACGTTCCCAATGAGTACAGAACGTTCGTTAGACGTCTGAATGACGTCGTACGGACTGTGCCTATAAAACGCTGTATAGACGCCTTCAGGATGTAAAAAGACGCAAAAGTAAAGTTTAAAAAAAGTATTTACAAAAAAAGTGTTAAAAAGTAAAAACTTTAAATAGAAACAATGTAGTTTTCTAACATAAAATTGCATGAAGTTGTCTAATGAGAGAAATTCATGTTTTCTCTTTGAGGAAAAACCTTCGCATAAAAGTGCAATCGATGAGTAAAACGACGTATAAAACAAGAGAAAACAGCATTTAAATGTAGTATTTAAAAAACAGCATCGATAAAAATTATATTAGTAACTATGGACCTGAATCAACATCATTATCTACAGCTACATACTTTTAGTTTCTACTCTTCAGCTATTTACAAAGTAATTAAACAATATTTCTGATATTATTAATAATAATTGAGGATATGGTTTAATGAAATAAAAAATGAATAATTTAGTTATTGATGAATAATTTAGTTATTGATTACATTGGATTTACGGATTTATGAGTAAAAATTGATGAATAAATGAAAAAAACATGTTTTTTAAAATAATAATATACACTAACAATTGAATGCTAAAGCAAATCCTAAATTTTTATAGTTTTAAGTCAAGAAATATTTCTGTCCCAACAACATACTTTTATTGTTAAGTTTATTAATTAAAATATCATTTAATTTATTTAATCCTAAATATTTATTTATAACATTTAACTAAAGTTCTTGTTTCATCAAAAGAGCATCCTTAAATTTAATTAATTTACAATTACTTTTCATATAGCGACTATGATAGCCATTCAAAAAAAAAAAAGGTTAAATGCTCAGTTAGTCCAAACATATTATTTATATATATAAAAAAATAATATTAACTGAAAACTTTTTGACCTTTTTTATATCAAAAAAATTTTATTTTATTTTTTTAATTGAAGTAGCTTCTTCAAAACAAAACATTCATTCTTTTAATATTTATAAAATATTAAAAGAATAAATTTAAAAAATGCTTAGAAATAAAAATAATAGCATTTTGTGTTGGTGGTGGTATTTACTACATTATTTTTTTTCTCATTATTTAAAAAGCTTTTAAACTCTTACCTTCTAGATGCAGTTCTTCCACGTCGTTACCAACTTTATCTTGAAATTCTTCAGTTTCGTTTGCAAACCGTTCGTATATTAAAACGCCAGTAATTGATCTTAGATACTTTTCAATATTGCAAAAATTTTTATTAAATATTTTAAGCACTTTAACGATTTTTTTTGACTCAATTTTTTTTTTATCTTCGTTATGCTTTAATTCCGTTTCTATATGTTTATTTAATTCTGACAATTTCCCCACAAAAATTTCTACTTGCGAATTTAAACTCTCTTTCATATTGTCTATGTCTTTTTGCATGGCAATAATTTTCTTTTTGATAAAAACTTTTTCATTTTCAATTGAATCAAGTCGATCTGTAATTGTTTTCATGTTTGAGATTGACATTGCTAAAAAGTTTTTTTCTTGGATATTTAAAAGTCTTTCGGTTTCTTTTAAAATAATTACTTTCTGTTCATCTAGCATTTTTTGAACTATCTGTTCGAAATTTTTCATGGCTTCAAATAAAATTCCAACGTACTATGTAACAACTCACTTTTGCAAAATTTTTCCAATTTAAAATAATTTTTAAAAATAATTTTTATAATGAAAATAAAAATGATTTTTAACTATCGATAGCGGCTTTTTTGTATCTGAAGATATGACGGCTTATTTGTATCTGAAGATATTTTTACATTATTAAACATTATTTACATTTTTTGTTAATTATTTATCCAACATTCAACTTCGTTTATCTTTTCATGTAATAAAACTAAAATAATTGTTTCAATTAAAGTTTCATAACATTTTTGCTTTCTGTGTTTAAACAAAATTTTCATTCAATGAGTGAAGTTACTACCCAGTAAACACATTCTATATTATTCTAAATTGACACAGCAGACGCAATCTAAATGTCTAAAGACGTCTTAAATAGGTCTAGTTAAAGACACATTGTTAGAGACGACTATTAGAAGTACATGCAGGTAAATTCATACGTCTTAAACAGAGACATTTCTTATGTCTTTTAAAACGCGTCTTTATCAAAGGCATTTATTATACAAATTAAAAATTGCCTGATTTAAACAAAGTTTTTAAACGTTTTAAATTTGCAAATGAAAATGTTAAGAAAGCACCTTTACATGTGTTTAAGTCTAGTTAAGGTAAAGCGATTGCTATAAAATTGCTTATACAATGCTTCCATGTAGAACAGTTCTAACTATACTATCACACTTTCGATACTGCTTTAACAAATGTGCAAAAATGTTTTTTGCACATGAAAATTAAATTTTTTTTTTTCGATATGAGTATGTCAAACTGTCAAAAGTTGTAAAATTAGTATGTCAAGCTGTCAAAAGTTATATATATATATATATATATATATATATATAATATAAATATTTTTATATAAAAGTCCAGATATAATACATTTTAGTAACAGAACTCTAAAATTGTATTAGATAAAATCTAGGCATTAACAATGAATAAAAGAACCATTAAACTTCAAAATAAACGGCTGGAAATTAGTCTCAGTTCCAGATGGGTACCATATGGTGTAAAGATAATGCTGCAAATTAAATCTTGGTTTCTAAGGGGATTGGCATGGAACTTCCGCTAATGATCAACGGCTGATTAGAAGAGGGGATGCGAATGGTATAATGGTAGCGTGTATATCTGATCAAAAGCAGTTTTATTGTTATCGTTTTCATTAGAAGTTTTTAAAGAATTAAGACAAAAAAAAAACGAATTAAAACTAAAAAAACTTTAGCGGCAGGACTTCTAGAAGATCATGAGGATCTTATCATGAAGCCCTTACAATGCTTTTTAGTATCCAGTATAATATAATACAAATACGTAATATTATAATGAAGTTATAAAAATTCGTAAAAAAACAAAAACAGTATTATAAAGTTTAACAAAACACAGTAATAAAAGGCAATAAAATACAAACATAAAATCCTTTAAATACATAAGTTTGCAAAGAAATCATGGAAATATTCGTAAATAGTAAAACATAATACAATGAAGTCTAATATACCAGCTAATATTATTGCTGGATAAAAACTCAAAAACAGATGAAGATATTTTCAATTGAAAAGATAATTTCTTTAATTTTGATTTTGAATGCAGGGTATTTTAATTTGATTGAAAAGTTGCCTTAGTCGGCAAATTGGACCCTTTTAGACTAGAAAGTCGGCAAATGTCGACCCTTTCGATATAGGTTAGACAGTCGGCAAATGTCGTCATGACAGTCGGCAAAATGGAAAACGCTGACCTTTTTTTTTTTTTTTTTTAAATATATATGTATATATATATATATATATATATAATATATATATATACACATATATACATATATATATATATATATATATATATATATATATATATATATATATATATATATATATATATATATATATATATATATATATATATATATATATATATATATATATATATATATATATATATAAAGTGCAATTGAGTTAACTGCCGTTTAATTAGTATGTTTCTAGCTTTATAAAGAATACCGATGCATTTGGAAACTCTAGAAGAGATAATGTTAATGTGATGTTTCTAAGTTGAATTTTTATCAATATAGATTCCTAGAAATTTTATTACTTTTTCTTTATCATTTAGATAAATTATAAATATAGATATATTAAGATATACTAAGATATATTTGATATATTAAGATTGTTGTCAATTCGTAAATTATATTCGTTTTTCGGTTTTAAAGAATAAAGATATTAAAATACCTGTGGAGATAAATTTTCTTTACACTTAAACATAAAGCATAAGATATTAAAAATATTAAATTGATAAACAGTCAAAGCTTTCATATCTTGAGAAGTGGCGCAGAGTGCGTAAGACGATTTCTAAAATTGCCTACGATTTGTAAGATAGCTCTTTAACCAATTGAGGGTGTTATCTTTTATTCCATATGATAACAATTTTTTTGTTAGAATTTGATGGTTGACGGTATCAAAAGCTTTAGATAAGTCAATAAATACTCCTAATGTGAAATAAGATTTTTTAAAAGATTCTGAGATGTTGCGCGTAAGTTAAAGTATAGCGTGTTTTTAAAAACCGAATTGGTTTTTGCATAAGATTTTATTATTAATTAGATGGTCGTAACTTCAATTACATATTATTTTTTATAGAATTTTTTTAAAAAACTGAAAGAACTCAAATAGGGCGATAATTATATATGATAATTATTATATGATATAGTCACATAATAATATAATGTTATACGTGTAATAACAAAATTATAAAAAATATATCAAGCAGTAACCATGGTAATTAAGAGTTTGATGTCATGTTAATGACTCAAACAAACATAATAATGAATTCAAATGTATTAGTAAAACATTAATCATTTCATTTTAACATTGATTATAAATTACTATTAGTTTTCCATAATTACTATTTGTTTACTATTCCAGTTAAGCCTGATTGTTAACATCAAATATTAACAGAAAAATATTATTTTTTCAGGTTCTCTATAGTAAGCTTATTAAAATCAAAATAGGTTGAAAAATGTTTTAGTCTAAATAATAAAAACATAAAAAAGTAAGAATAGCATTGTAATATTATATTTTTATAAAAGAAAAATATAATATTACAATGCTAATATTACACTGTTTTACATTTCATCCTTTAAAATTTTCGTTGGAACGAAAATGGATGAAAAGGATGAAATGTAAAACAGTGACAAGTTGATATTAATACGATAGCAACATCGATTTTAAAAAATTGAAACACAGATTTGTATTATGAGTGTAGATTACATGAATAATTTTACCTTTGTTATTGTATTGTAATTTTGTATACATAATCTTTTTTTTTTACAGTATGAGTGTTATTAAAAAAATTACTTTTGACAATGGTTTTTTGGTTTTATTAATTTTGTATTTGTTTAAGACTTTTTTTATTTAAGAGGTTTAATAGTATGTTTTGTTGTTGTTTTGTTGTTGTTTGTTTTGTTGTTAGAGGTTTTTTGTTGATTATGATTACCAGCAGAAAATACATTACTTTAACAAACGGTAATTAAAAATTATGACATTATATAATTTTGGCACTTGGAAATTATGTTAAATCTCCCATAAAATGGTTCATTTGCAGGGGTTTTCATATAACCTTCATCTGGTACCTCCATGGTATTTACTATTTTTTTTAATAATATTTAATTATATGTACATTTATCAGTTGATTAATAGATTAATTATTTACATATTTATCTATCAATAACTTTTTACCAAATGGCATTTCTCGTGTTGCGTGTGTGACTCTGGTACAATCATTTTCAAAATAAAAGGGGCCATGAAAAATAGTTTACTACAGATATGTAAAATATATATTGCAAATATTATAGTAGGAGATGTGTTTGATATAAAAATAACTTCTGATATATTACGACTCCTAATCAGTTTAATTTCAGTTATTAACATAACTGAAATAAAGATTAAACTGATTAGCACTTTTGTTTTGTAGACTTTTTAAAGTTTTAAATTTTTAACTTTTTTTTATCAAGGTATGTAGTTTAATTGTTCTGCATAAGACACCAATCATTAAAAGCCATTTCTGGAGATTAGGAAAATGTTTCAGGAGCTTGCATGTCATTAATATAGTTTATTTGAAAATCAAATAACTTTGAGTCACTTGTTTTGAAAAATCAGAAGTATTCATTGAAAGCATTGACATGATGAATTTTTCGTATTCTCGGTGCTTTTATGACTTCTAACCGAGATTATTTTTTGTCTATTTTTCTAATGATTTCATCATGGCTAATATAGAGAATATTAGTAGCTGTCATTAATGGTTTGAAAACATTTTAAAAATCCATAGACGTTTATACACACACTTTCTCATTCTTGCTCATACATTTCATTCAAACTAGAGACTTTGCCGTGGGAAGTTGCAAAAAATTTCCAAATTATTTTATTGCAAAAATAACTGGTTGAGTAATTTTACCATTAACTTATTTTTAAATTCTGATAATGGGCTGTTGGCGAAAAGAGTTTCGCCATCAGTATCATTATTTTAGTTTTCAGACATCTGATTATCTCATATGCTACTTATAGAGTTTCTTTTTAAAAATGCTTTAACGAAACCTATATAAAACAATTTAAAAGCTAATTATCACTCCTAAACTGGAAACATATTAACTTTAATGATAATGCAGACAAAATTTACCATAATTTCTTTGAAGCATTTTATTCCGTGTATGACGCTAACTTTCCTATCATTGTAAAAACAATAAATCCAAAAAATTTAAACAACCCACGGGTGACCAGGGGATTTAAAAAATCATCAAAAATAAAACAGAAACTTTATATAAAATATCTTAAAACAAAATCATCTCCAAATGAAAAAATACCTATTTAAAAAAATTTGTAAAAACTTGAAAAAAAATCAACTCAAGACTCATAGATAAATTTAAAAATAATTTAAAACGCACTAGACATAAAATTAATGAAATAAGTGGATGACAAAAATTATGCTGAGGTTCCCTCCCCCAAACGATTATAGTTGATAACAAACATATATGCGAATCAAGAGCTATAGCTAATG